AAAAAAAACCCTTGGTGAAGCTGATGCACAAATAAGTCTGCTGTCCCATGCTGCACAGCATCCCGCCCTCTGTCATCGAATGCATGTACCTGTACGCAGGTGACTCATGTTACTAAAACCAAACAGACTTGATATTAAAAAGATTTTGAAATTTATTTTATGTGTGGCCAATTATTCAGAAATTAAAGTCTATATAAACGGACACTCACTTGAGAGTAATGAATATCCAAGATACCCAGCAAGTGTTTATCCATTCTTATTTACAGAAACCTAATGCTGACCCCTAGAGAACTGTCAACTACTGCACCCATGGGGTCACAGCGACCCTGGGGCTCCTGTAACCCCTCCAGTGTCCCTCAGCAACGCGATGCCAGCCCAAGTTTCCACATACAGTCAACCTGAAACTGGGCAGCACTGAGGACTAATACAGATAGAGCTAAGTTACAAATTTTAAGCCACTTCCTCTGTACAGATTAATCCAAGAATTAACATTGGTACCGAGAGCCACCGTCGTTCATCCTCTTACTGCTACTCACATTTATTATGTCTTGGGCGCTAGCTTGGGTAGGAAAACCCCTCACGTGGACAAAATGCTGCGACAATGAGGTATTCCCAGGTTCTGAAACTGGCCCGGACCTTTCTGTTACTTCGCTATACGGTTCTGCAGAATCGAGCAAAAGCACCATTAACGCTTGCAGTCATCGTGTCCCTCATGTGAAAGCTGTAGAAACGCAGGGTCGCGCCTGTGCAGACCGCGAGAATAACATGAAGGTGCCTCAAAGAACACGTGCACCAGGGAAGGACTCACTGTTCTCGCTTCTGGCCCTGGAGCCTCCTGCGCCACTCAATCCTCTTTCTTCAAAAACCGATTCATGTTCTTTACCCACTCTTGGGTAAGTCAACATCTGCTTGTGATTTATCACGTGCCTTTGCATTTGATGCTTTCTACTTATATAGACTTCTATGTACCTAGAATTAAAAGGAAAAGATTACACGGCACGCTTGTGCCCACTAAAAAGCGCTCACGATTTTAAGAAAGTACTATGACTTCAGGACATATTCATATCTCAGCTCCAATCACATACTAGATTTGAGAACTGTGGTACGTAGTTACCATTTTGGGTTAACTGGCAAGCAACAGTTTTGAAGCATTCATTTAAGTCATTCAGCGAGCCTTACGAAAGCCCTTTTCAACTTGCAATGACAGCTCCTGTTCAAACCCGCACACTGTGAGACAGAGGACCAGTTTTGTGTCGACAAGATCTTTGGTTTACGGCCTTCTATAAAGCTCCTAAAGAAGCAGTATCAATCATTTACAAGCCAAAGTTGTTTTACTGCAGAAATTCAGGTCTACTTGCTGTGAAAAATGTTTTCTATTCCTTGCAGTAGCACGCATCCTTTCCACTCAGCCCTGTACATGAGTGAAACTATGTTTTCCCCTTGATGGACCTGTGCAAACTGCACTGATAACAGCTGCAATTTCTACAAACCCTCAAATTAAAAAAAAAAAAAAAGACAACCCCCTCCCCCCAAACAGGAGATTAATGAAATAAAGAGATACAGAAGTTGCACAGGGTCAGTAGAACCATTAAGATTTTACATGCCTCTATGCAATTGATGGGATAAAATGTAATTGTGTGGGAAATTAAAGCTGCAGATACAATACACCAACAAGGAATGCAACACTAAGGGAATCTAGCAAGATCACTCTTAGATTGCAAGGGAAAAAAAAAAAAAGAGGTACTGCCAGGTTTAGGCAAAACCTAAGACAAGAACACCTTGCATCTCTCTCCCTCTACCTGAGAAGCCCTTACTCAGAGCCTCTTTTGCTAATCTTTCTGAGCCTTGGAAACAACACCCAGCTGGGCCTCGCACAAATCTAACGGCCACTCCTAAAAGTAGCTCATTTCCATAGCACAGAACCAATAATGTGATGGAGGACCCGAGAGCATGGGCATCCAACTAAGGAGGCTTTCCTCCCTTCCTAACGAGAGCAGCTATAGCAAGGTGAACCCAAGACGCTGCCTGTAAAGCCTGACAGAGCTTACAACCCAATGCCCGTACACCCCTACTGTGCACAACTAACGGCCATTTCTGGATACAATTAATAACCCAGAAAGAACGAGAAGAGAAAGCTGACAGTAGTTTTACAAACTACTCAGTTTCTTGGCTAACCACATAGTTACAGAAATATATAAGCCCAGGTAGGTGAGTCTGCTGAGGCCTGTTCCAACATGACAAAGAAAAGGTTAATGGTAAACTGAGAGAGCAATTAACCCCCACTGGTGGGTAGGGAGGTGTGTCAAGTGATTCAATTATTGGGCACACCTCCAGAAGGGTGGTCTTCTTTTAAAATGGGGGAGAGACAAACAGGAAGGAAAGTAATAAAAGAAGGGAATTGGGTGCCACTACCCTATAAAAGAAGCAGCATGGCTAGGAGAAACATCCTGCAACCTGACATTCAGAAAGAGATGCGAGTGATCAAAGGGAAATCAAACCTAAAGAGGGTAAAAAAATAAGCCTTATATTCTGAGTGAGCTCAGGATTCTGGGGAGAAGCTTCCACTTGAGAAAAGAGAGGCCCTTGGGGGAGGAATAACATGGTGTAGGGGCTCTCTGTTCCGCAGGAAAGCGTATCAGTGGGGGTCAAGGACAGCCCAGGCAAGCAGCAGAGCGGCTGGGGAGGTTGGCTGCTGCGCGGCGCTGAGCAGCAGTTAGCTGTGGAAACAGACTCATGCCAGAGGGGTCTGGTAAGTGGCATTTCGCACAACGTACGCCCCCGATGGAGACGATGGCTGTGACTGGCGCTGGAGCGAAGGGAAGAAGCGAGGGCTGCCACAGTGCTGGAAAGCATCTGGTGACATCGTGAAACTTCAGAGGTGAGGGCTGGGCAATGGCAAATGCCCACAGTGGGCATATGATCCTTCTGTAGTCGTGCCTGGTTAAGCGCTGTCTATCTTTGTAACTCCTCCTAGCCCCGAGCACTGCCAAACCACTCATGCAGGGGTGAGACTCTTTTCAGTTTCTTTTTGAGGGGCATGAAAGCTCCCCTGCAAGCTGTGAAGCCCACCAAAAAAGGTTTCCCTTTCCCCCCCCCCACTCCCTGTGCTGTCAAGATTCTTCAGAGAATACCCCCCAAAATGGTAAAGCTTATCTTAAATAGAGTATTTAAGAGGGCCCTATTAGAAAAGAAATGCTGTAAGGCACAGAGTAACAGTCTGATACCGCTCTGTGAGACTGCCATGGTTTCCATAAGAACTTGAATCCAAAGCCTGAGTTCTATGCAAGTTTCTTTAGCTACCGCCTACTAGCATTGCTACTGAAGTTAGCTGCCTCACCTGGTAAGAGGCAAGCTCTGAGGTACACCACATGCTTTATACCAACTGCTATCTTCTGTTAACCGGAGCAAAGCACCTACCTATTCCCAATGTATTCTCTGTGCCTTAAGAGGGCTTTAGCTGCCATTTCTGGAGCTGCAAACTGCACGTAAGCTTCTCCTGTTCTTCTGTCTCCCCGGTTAACGAAAGCTATGTCAGTTATGCTCAAACCTATATGGGGGGGGAGGGGAAGGAAAAAGGCATTTACATTGTCAGAGGAACTTGTGCCATAGCTCAAAAAGATATCCCCTTCCCTTCCCCTTCCTTTTTAAGAGAGGCAGACCCAGCAGTTACCTAGTTCTGAAACAACTGCTCATGCTGGCTGAAATACAGCTTTTTTTCTTTAATAATTATTTTTTATTCCATGTTACTGTATTTTTACAAGTTCTCGTGGAAGCCTCAATTGCAATAACAAATCCATGTGAGGCTTTAAATAAGGACAAGAACAAAAAATGAATGGAAGTTCTGGAGAAGAATTAAGTCCAAGGCACAAATGCATTTGAACTAGAACTCTTTGGTCACTTTTTTTCCTTTCTTTTCTTGAAACCTAGGCCAAATTCAGTTAACTTTTTTCCTCCAAAAACTGTTTAACGCCTTCCGAGAGAGCTTGTAATCCATTAGGTCACTGCGTCAGACACAATACAGAGTAGGATCTGTGAGTCCTAACTTAACGAAAACTTACAGGAGAACAGACTGGGCTGGGCCCATACACTTATTTTGGTGGGAATTTTCTAAAGCCCTGGTGTGTGGGTTTTCTTTAGCACTACCTTCTGCAGTGGTCTCCCTAAGCTTCCAAAGCAATGCAAACAGTTGCTCCAAAATGCATGACCCGCCCATGTCATCTCACAGTGATAATTCTGCTACTCGAGTCTTTTAAATGCCTCAGTTAACTGTTGGTGATCAATTCAAACACTGACCACCAGTGGCCTTGATTTCTTTGGCATGATGCATAACAGCATCGTTTTTGCTATTACGAGCCTTAGTTTTGGAGGACTGTGTGTGGTGTGCATGCTCAACTGGGGGGGGGGGGGGGGAAGTGAAAGAATTGGTTTTGGTTCAGTCTGCAACGCAACCTTTACCTAAGAAAACATCAAATAATTCTGCAAACCCCAGAAAAGCTGCTTCCTAACGAACCCATGCGGCAGCTGCCTGGCCTGCTCCACCACTGAGGCTGGGGGACACACGCTGCCCATTGCGCAGTTCCTCAGCTGAGAAACTGCGCAGCAACCATGCACAACCATGAACCATCAATATGCAATTATGAAAAACACATAGCTGCTATACAATAGTTTTAACAGCGGCATATGTGACTTAACCGTTACGATCATACTTCTGCCAACAGCCACACTGTGCTCACTTGTGCTTTAACTCTAATACAACCATCTTTTCCCCTTCAGTTAGCCAGACTGGGCACTGGTAGCAATCCAAGTGCAAAAAATTGATCTACATTCATCCCTTTCCTTATTTCCCCCCCCCCGCCCTCCCCCAAAAGACTCCTGCAAGTACTGAACCTAGGTCAGACCTCCAGAAATAGTCAGAGATAGCATTATAATCTCGCAGCCAAAAGCTTCAGTGAATGCACTTGCAACAAGATAGTGATTTTTCATACCACTGTTCAAAGTGCTCGTGGTTTCTTACGGTGGACTGGAGTGCTTTTGCAAATCTCATTTAGAATAATGACAGCATAGCTAAACTGAACTTAGAGCAGGAAATACATCCTAACCAAAGGGCAAAGGCTAGTCCGAGTTACCTGCGAAGAAATCTGAAATATCATCTTCAGTGGAGCTGAACGGAAGGCCTCTGAGTAGTACAACTCCATCGTTAATGGCTTGTGACTCATCCCGCAGACTCTGCAACAAGCCTTCTACATCTCTATCGTGTACTTCAAAAACTGCAAAGAACACAGCCACAGAACACGCTTTCCTTCATGGTACACAGAAAGCGGCACCCTGCAGGAGCCTTCTTCCACGGCAGCGTTTTCCCCCAACCTTCATCCCGTTTCCCCCCATTAGAGCGCTCTGTGACACCTCAAGGGTACCCCTCACCGCTTGAGTCACCTTCCCGTTCCCTCCCTGCCCAGCCTAGCAAAATCTCACTTAGTTGTGCCTCCGTTGCCACTTCTGCTGCTCTCTTCCGCTCCCCTCACATCTTGCATCTCTCCCCCCTGTCCCGCACAAACCAGTTTTACTGCTCCTTTTGTTTTCGAGTCCTTCTTACTCCCTTGAGCATGCTTTTCTTCTGGTTTAAGTTCTACTGTTTCAAACGTACCTTTCACGTAGCGTGGGCCCATGTATCTCAAGTGCTTTTCCAAGGCTCTCTGGACATCTGCTTTTGACTCCAGCTCAATCAAGGCATCTCCCCTGCGTCTCCCATCCCTGTTTAAGAGGAAGTGTATGCCGTTCTCACCGTTTCGAATTCTACAGCCTAGAAATTAGGGAAGACGTGATACACAGAAACATATGCAACTGCATCAGACGTGGGGTTTTCTTAATCCCAGATCAAACTGATTATTCTATAAAGAGCCATTTCTCTCAGCAGTGCAAAAGAGTGTCCTGAAACAAAGGCTAGGAAACTCCCATTTCTGACCTTAAAGCTAACACAAAACACTCTTCATGGAGAAGAAACCGACTTGACAACCATTTCCTTCCACAACTGGATTAATTGGATAGTATATCCCCACGCTGTTGGTGAGCTTTCCGTTGCTGAAAGCAATTCTTTGTTTCAAAACTATTTCTTTAAATCTAAAAGAAATGCTATAGGGTCTTTCAGTTGCTTATACTGTGCCTGCTGTTAAGTTCTTTCCTTTAGGAGTTCAAACCGCCTTAAATTTAGTTCGGCAGGTCATCAAACCAGCTAAGAATCTGCTCTGACAATCTGTTGGACTGTGGTGGGATGCACCATCATATTACAGTATGGAGGGATCAGCCCTGCAAAGCTATGCAGTGGGCCACTCATTCAGGTCAGAAAGCAGCACTGAAATTTTAACCGGGGAGTAAACACCATCCTTTCAGTTTGTTTAAAAGGGGTGGTGGGGTAGCCAACCATAATGGCATGCAAGGTCACAACCTGGACTTAGAGCAATGTGCCTTTACAGCTGAAACACTGATTAAGACGACTTGCTCAGTTAAAAGAAAGGGAAGAGTTGTTGAAATCAATACGGCGCGTTTTACTGAGCAGTTTCTATGAGCGCTTCCAAACTGCTGGAAGCCGACTATACGTATTGCAGGCATAACTGGGGAAGCGTTCGTCTTTCGCTGCCCAACGATCTGCAAGAACTCCTTCCGCTAGCTATCGGAGGCTCGGGTCCGCAGCCCCGCACCGGGCCGCCGCGCTACGCAACGCTGACGCCCGTACTGTCGAAAAAGGTCAGCACGTCTTCCTCGGTGCACGAGAAGGGGAAGCCCTGCGCCCTGATGAGAAAGACGGAGTCTTCGCTCTCCGCCTTCGGCGGCGGCGGCTCCTGCTCCGACGCGTGACCTTCCTGAGGGGGAGAGCCGGCGACCTGCTAGCAAAGCCAGAGAGGCAGTTAGGAAGGGGAGGCAGGAGGCGGGCACGCGGCAGCCG